AAATGGAGCAGGGATGGGTGGTAGCAAATATTGACACATGAATTGCCTGTTAACAAGGCAAATTTTTCCCTTTATGAAATCAGTTGCTGAAGTGGGCACTTGCATATCAAATGTACTTTTAATGGACCAGAATTACGTTATACCCAGGAAGAAACTGCCTCAATACCTCCATCCTTCCTCCAAAGAATTCAGAACAAAATGCAGTATCCACCTGTAATCCATCTACCTTCCAATAAAAAAATACTGCTGTGAGTGCAAGAGCCCTTGGAACGGCTCTGAGCCAACATGCTGTTACCAAGGATAGCTACAGAGAACGTAACAGCAAATACGCTGAATATTTAACTGAAACAAGTGTCAGTGCTATATGAATTTAGAAATGCAAAGAGATAGACATAGCCCAACTTTGAACGTCATCTGAACTGGTGATCCCACACTACTGCAGTATTTATAAAGCGCTATCAGTCTGCAAGGAGCAGCTGCAAAGGAGAGAGCCGAAGCTGTATGTTGTTGTTCTGCAACAAAGCCAACTTCTTGGCCAGAATCATTCCCTGGGGAAAACGAGTAACTGCACTGGTAATACAGAGCTTCAGGGTAGACTTCTAATCCCTTCTCCGATATAAATCCTTCTCTGAAAAATCATCTTCCTTGGATCAGTTAAGGTGTGCTAAGAGCATCTTGTCCATGAAGTTGGTCCATCAAATACACCATCTCTGAAAGTGCCTTATACTATATGCACCACAGAAAGTGTTAATTGTAACTATAGTAAGCTACTTCCAGGCCGCGGACTGCATTTTCTATTTTACACTGTAACCAATAAGTTGAAAACAACTGAAAACAAATTGATTCAAAGAGAAAACAAAATGAGAAGCAGCACAAACTAATGGATGCTCCAATACAGGCTGACAAGAAAATCAAAACATTAAAATAAAAAAAATAAAATAGGCCCCAGTACTTGTTAGATTCCAAATTCAGAATTACTCCACCTAAACTCCCTGTTCCAAAGGCAGCTTGCTAAAATAAAGCTCCCTTCAAGTAGCCTAATGCAAGCTGATACAACAGCCGAGTCACGCCTGCATTGATCAGCAACCACACAATCTCATTTAAAACACCCCAAAGTGCTGAGAGTTCTTGCTGGTTGTCCATTCTGAAGAGGATGGAAACTTGCAAGTACCCTGCAATCAAATAAAATGAGATATTTGCTACCCAAAAGCACAGGTGCTTTTGAAGATGTGGCACCACACAATAGTCCTGGTCCAAACGAACACAACTGCTCGCATCCCATGTACTTCAAGGACATGATGCAATATACTATGATTTCACTGACCTGCTGTTTATCACCACACAGCCTTTTCAGATGCAAATTACATCCAAATCATCTGGGTAATTGCCACGTAAAAAGGATCTAAGCCACTCCTGAATTAGCTAGCTCAAGTTCACACACCCACACACAGTTCAGCAGAGTCTACAAACCCCAGTGCAGTGGGTCATCTACCCTGAACTCCACAATGCCACAACTGGGCTGCTGTAAGTACCAATACATGCTACGTGCATTATAAATACTAATATACTTTACTACTACTGCTGTTATACTATAACACTTCTATAAAGACAGTTCCTTTAATTGAGGTAATATGTGTCGATGCCAGACTGCCGTTACGCTAGTGAAGGCATAATCTAAAGCTAATTGCTCATCTGTGACAGAGGCAAATATTATTTTCTTCTACAAAGTGATAAACTAAATCACAATGAAATTAGGTGACTTCCCACATTCACATAATGGATGACAGAGCAATAAATTGAACATATAAGCCCTGACTTTCCAACCATTAGTTATCATTTGCTCAACACGCACCCCCATAGCACAGCAGGTCTGTGGTAATCAATCTGAGGAGCTTTTAACTACCCTGTGAACCTTTCACCGCTGATGCCAGGTTCTAGAAGCACAGTGGAAAGATGAAATATTGTCCCTTTCCACTGGGATGATGATTGTAATGTGCAATTGAAGATTCCTGGCAAAAATACAGCACTAATTCCTCTTCACTGCCCAACTACCTCATGGTCCCCACCATCTGCATGTAGGCAAAGTGCAGTGCCCGTGCCTTACTCTGCTGCTGGTGAGCCCAGGAGCAGATAGCTGTTTCCAGCATGACAAAGCAGAGCTCCTGGGACGTCAAAATGTCAGAACCCTATGGTTTACTGAAATTTTAATCTCTCTCTCTTTCTCTCTTTCCGCATTCTTTGCCACCAGCTACAGAAATGTTAAAAAATAGTAAGAGATCTGATGTAACACAAGTGGGTAGCAGCAGTCTCTCTTGACTCCACCGTCTTTCTAGAGCTTGACAACCAATGAGGAAAATACAAATTAGCTCCTCTTCATAAACAGAGCACTACAGCAGAAATTAGCTCATTCCCCAGGCACCACAATACCCTATTACTCCAGCTTGAAACAAGAACTGAAATCATGGGAAAGTCTTTTCATGGTGAAATTTACATAGATTAAGAAAAAACTATGGATTCACTCATATCATCCTTTAAAAACTTTAAAAGTCACTACATTATTAAAGGAAAATTGTAACCAAACACATTTTAGAAGTCTCCATGATACATCTATTATTAACCTTTTCAAGGGCTATAAACATACGCCAAATTTTTCAAAGTACTTGAGACTGTGTGCATTCTAGCTACCTCTAAATCTCCATAAATCCACCACCTCAAGGACATAACGTGAGCACTGCTTCCACAGTCACTACACATAAAAGATGAAGAGCAGAAGCAGAAATTGGCAAGGAAAAAAAAATTAGAGAAGTAGGAGCATAATAATTTAGTTCAGAATATGAAGACAGATGTTCAACTATGCATAAGCGCTCAAAGATGCAGAGAGGAAATTTTGTAGCCCGAGGAAGTCAGACGTGTAACTCCACAGGAACCAAGCGGCTGACTTGTCCAGGAACATTTCAATTGTGACAAGTAGAAGCAATATTTCTACCCTGAAACAATCCAGCGCTGCTCAGGGAAGTGGACCTGTTTGTTCATACAATCTCTCCTCTAGAGAGCCGAGGTGCACTTGAAGAAACGTGACTGAAGCTCCAGGTGATGAGCAAATACAACGGAATAACTGGTAGTAAGGGCAAAACTGCACTCCTGTAACACTGGGCATGGAAGAGCAGCTCACCCTCGCTCTGCCACTTTACAACTGCCGGGTTTGATTTAGGTATCAGAGGTATCTCCGGCTAGAGCCTCTGGGTTAGCTATCCCTCATTCTTGAAAAGCTAGAGACTCATACTGTTAATCCAGGACAGCAAAAAAACCAATCACACCACACTACCCTTTTATTTTCATTAGGAAGCCTGACCCACGGCGCTTCAAGATTCCAAAGTTTCACCACAGACTAACACAGCGTCCTCACGTACCGTGTTAGGATGACACACTGCAGCTATTTTGTCTCCACATACAGCAGCTCCTTTTCTTCCCCTGCCATCTGCTAGTTTGCTGCAGTCTGCTGGGACAGGACTTTCCTCTCCTTTCCTCCCTTGTCCTGGCTGCTCGAAGGGACAGTGGCAGATCCTAGCATTTCCACTCCATACACTCAGCTTCCCTCCAGCTGCCTCAGGAACATGAACCAGCACAGAGTTACTGCCTTGAACGAGCAGTGCTCTGCTCACCTCTGCCGTACCAGCAGCTTCCACCAGAGTTACATGGTAGAGACTGAAACACCTTCTAAGGGGTTAGCAAGGAGATAATTGCTCCTTTAAGAGGGCACACCTTTTCCTCTTATCCTCAGGTGCCATTGATTAAAACAGGTGTCTGCAATACCTGCCTCACAGGAACCATCAGAGAGAAACTAAGGCAGGCACTGTCAACAATGACTATATGCAGATTCCTATTATGCCTTTTCTTAGAAGGGAAGGGTAGTAAGAAGAAACCAGAAAAAAAAAATCAGATAGGTGAACATCAGTCTTTAAACATCTATTACTGATAAAGCTCAGTATGAGATGTGCAGCAAATAACTATTTTTTTTATCTGCTTCTGATGACTACTATAGTTCAAAATGGAAAAAATAAGGGTGACAAAATAAAGGCTACTCCACTACACTTGTAGCCTGTTAGGAAAGAAAAAGGAATGTTTGCCATTAATTATTCTATTAGTCAGGTCGTTAGAAAAAGGAACAGCTCATCTAAAAATAAAGTCAATATTGGCTGAGTCTAAACAGTATCTTCAGCATTTAACACACACACACATATTCAAGCAATAAACACTATTATTCTGTACTTGTAACCGTATGCCCTGAAGTCAGTAACTGCTCTTCAACACCTGACCTCTTTTTAAAGCAGATTTACAAGAAAGTATAGTGAAAGTGTTCCCAGTCAGCTGGTAAAAAAGTATTATGGATCATAACTACACAGCAAACAATTGCTAGTTCTTCTGATCTGCAATATTAGAATATATCTGGCATTCAATTAAAAAAAAAAAAACATAAAGAAATGGCTGATAGCAAATATACACAACCTTCCACTTCAAAGTAAACCCAAATCAACCTTGGAGAATATTTACGGTTATATCAAATGCCTTAAATCCCAAAGCTTTTAACTACAGTAAACCTCTTTTGCTATGTTCTTCAACAAGCAATTACAAATAACACTATACCTTTACAGAGCGCTTTTCACGCTCACAGCTCTCAAAGCACTTCCCACAGAAACACACAAATGAAACACAGCTTTCTTTGGGGTGGGAAGCCACGGAATACACAGCGTAATATGCCAACAGAAAGGTGAGTTTTACAGTATGGCTTTGTTTCTCAAAAGCAGATTTTCCTGGTCTCCGATCCCTACACACTGACAGTCAGCAAACAATAAACAATCGAGAGCAATCACGCATATCTATAATCTTTAATTTCAGGGAAGCGTTGGGAAGTGCCAGGCTGCTCTGCAGCAGGTAGGCTACGATGGGGATGCCGTTCTGGCAAGCCCCTCGCGGGCCAGCTGAAGCAAACCCCGACTTACCCAGACAGTCCCAGCGAGGGCTGCGTCCAGCAGCGAGACCAGCACCGGTGCAGACAGGACGACAAGATCAGAGCCACAGGCGTCGTCTGCTCCTTGGAGCAGAAGCCCTGACTGTTAGGATGGATGTCTGCACCGTGCTACACAAAAATCTGCATCTTCCCCAGGATTAAAAAAATAAATAAATAAAAAAAATACTTGAAGCTCCTCGCTAGCCCTGCAACCTATTCCTCTACGTCGTCACAGCTAGTGACTACGGAGATGCTTTTAGTGTCACAGGAGATTAAGGCTCTGGGAGGAGAGTGCCTGGCAGCTTTACTCTCACACAGCGATCGTCTTCGTGCAAACGCGCTTTGTCGGTGGATGAAAGTCTATGATTGCCATACACTACCCAAGCCAAACAGTTTCCAAGTTTTCCCGCGGGGCACCAGCTCCCCCCTTCCAGCCCTACCCCACCGCTCGCTCCCCCCGTCCCTCTCCGAGGCCTCCCCCCCCCAAAAACTCCGGGGTTTCAGACCCCCACACACACCGAGCCCCGGCTCCGGGGGCACAGCCCTTGTACCTGCTGGGACACCGCCTCCCCCGGAGCCCGGCCGAGCGCCGAGGGGAAAAGGCAGCCCCGCTCCGCGACCCGGGCCCCCGCGGGAGGGGAACGGCGCTCGGGGGACAGGGGGGCGGCACGGCCCGGGAAGCGGCACAGCGGGGCGTATATAAGGACACACAAACATATATATATATATGTATATAAAACACACGCACCGCCCTGCACCTGCCTGCCGCTACCAACTCAGAGCAAACTCCCCCCACTCAGGGCCGCTCGGGCAGCCCCTCCCGCGGCGGGACCGGAGGCTGCGGGGGCAGCTCCCCGCCACGCAAACGGGGATAAAGCGGGAGATAAGGGGACTGGGAACAGCCCCTGCCCCAGCCCCGCCTGCACCCCACTCCCATTACCTTAGCAACCGCGCCGCCGCCGCCGTCCCCCCCCCGCTTCGCCTCTCCTCAGGGCCGGGGGGGTGCCCGCACCATGGCGTGAGCCGGCGGGCGGGGCCGCCGGGCAGCCCCG